GTCAAAAATGGGAAGGGGATGCCCATTTAGTGGGCAGAGGCCAGGGGTGTTGCTACATATCCCACATTGCACAAGACCATCCCCATATCAAAAAAATATCTTGCCCCAAATGGCCCTAGTTCTGGGGTTAATAAACTCTGATTTGGTATCTATACACTAACAATGAATTATCCAAAAAGGAAATAAAGAAAACAATTCCATTTACAATGGTATCAAAAACAGTAAAATACTTAGGAATAAATTTAACCAAGGAGGCAAAAGATCTCTACAGATGGTCCTTGGCTATTGATGGTTTGACTTAATGATTTTTCAATTTAATGATGGTGCTGAAGTGACGTGCATTCCATAGAAATCACACTTAAGAGTTATGAATTCTGATCTTTTCCTGGGCTAGGGATATTTGGCATGACACTCCCTCCTGATGCTAGGCAGGGTCACAGAGCCATAGCTCCCAGTCAGCTATATGATCATGACAACTGATATACTTAGAACCATTCTCTACCTAGACAACCATTTTCTTTTTCACTTTCAGTACAGTATTCAATAAATTACATGAGACAGTCAATATTTTATTACAAAATAGGCTTTAAGTTAGATGATTCTGCACAACTGTAGGCTAACTGAAGTGTTCTGAACATGTTTAAAGTAGGCTAGGCTAAGCTATGATGTTCAGTAGGTTAGGTGTAATAAATGGATTTTGGCTTACCATATTTTCAACATATGGGATTAGTGCGTACCTAATCCCATATTAAGTTGAGGGAAGATCTGTACACTGATAACTGTAAGACATGATGAAAGAAATTGAAGAAGACACCATTAATGGGAAAGTATTCTAATTTCATGGATTGCAAAGATTAACATTGTTAAAATGCTCATAGTTCCCAAAATCATCTACAGATTCAACAAAATCCCTATCAATGTCCCAATGACATTTTTTACAGAAGTAGGAAAAAAATCCTAAAATGTATATGGTACCACAAAAGACTGCAAATAGCCAAAGCAATCCTGAGAAAGATGAAGAAAACGAAAGGCATCATACTTCTTGATTGTAAGCTACATTATAAAGTTTTACTAATCAAAACAGTATGGTAATAGCATAAAAATAAGATACATAGACCAATGAAACATTACTGAGAGCACAGAAATAAAATAAACCCATGTATATTAATATATGACAAGGGAGCCAAGAACACTCGGTGTAGAAAATACAGCCTCTTCAACAAATGGTGATGGGAAAATTGGATACTCACAAGTAAAAGAATGAACTAGACCCCCACCTTGTACCACTTGTAAAAATTAACTTGAAATAGATTAAGGACTTAAATGTACAACAGGAAACCATAAAATTTCTGGATCCAGAAAACAAGGAAAAAGACTCCTTAACATGAATCTTGGTAATTAATTAATTTTTTTATTTAGATATGACACCTGAGGCACAAGCAACAAAATAAACAATAAGTAAGAGGGACTACACCAAACTAAAAAGCTTCTACATGGCAACAGAATGATCAACAAAATGAAGAAGACAACCTATAAAATGGGAAAAATATTTGCAAACAATATATCTAATAAGGTGTTAATATCTAAATATATAAAGACCTTGTTCAACTCAATAATAAATATCAAATAATCCAATTAAAATGAGCAAAGAACCTAAATAGACATTTTCCCAAAGAATATATATGAATGGCCAACGGGTACATAAAGAGATACTCAGCATCACTAATTATATGGGTAATGCAAATCAAAACCACAAGGAGGTATCATCTCACTCATATTAGAATGACTATCATAAAGAAGACAAGAGATAACAGATGCTGGAGAGGACGTGGGGAAAAGGAACCCCTGTGCACTGTCGGTGGGCTTGTGAGGTGGTACAGCCAACAGGAAAAAATAGTGCAGGTTCCTCAAAAAATTAAAAATAGAACTACCATATGATCCAGCAATTCTATTTCTGGCAATATATCCAAAGGAAGCAAAAACACTATGTTGAAGAAATATGCACCCCCATGTTCATAGAAGAATTATTTATAACAGCCAAGACATGGGACCAATTAAGTGTTCATCAATGGATGAATGGATAAAGTTGTGAGATATGTATGTATATGACTACTATTCAGCCATAAAAAAGAAGAAAATCTTGCCATTTGTCACAATATAAATGGATCTTGAGGGCATTATGTTAAGTGAAGTAAGTAAGACAGAGACGGGCAAATAGTCTATGATCTCCTTTGTATGTGGAATCTAAAAACGAACAAATAAACAAACTTGTAAAAAATGAGATCAGATTTGTGATTCCCAGAGATGGAGGTGGATGGGGTGGGAGGAGGGGGATTTAGATGAAGATGGTCAAAAGTTACAAACTTCCAGTTATAAGATAAATAGGTAATAGGGCTATAAAGTACAACATGATGACTACAGTTAACACTGCTGTATGGTATATAGGAAAGTTATGATAGCAAATCCTAAAAGTTCTCATCACAAGAAAATTTCTCTCTCTCTCTCTCTGTCTCTCTCTCTCTTTTTTCTTTTTTCTATCTGTACGAGATGATGATGGTAACTACTTTTACTGTGGTAATCATTTCACAATATATGTAAGTCAATTTATTATGCTGTATACCTTAAACTTATACAAGCCTGTATGTCAGTTATATCTCAATAAACTAAAGCTAAACTTAAAAAAAAAAGAAACCTTGCTTTAGAACAGAAGTCAGAAAATATTCTTCTGTGAAGAGCTACAGAGTAAACACTTTAGGCCTGGCAGGTCATATAGTCTATGGCTCAACTATATTAAGCCTGCTATTGTCACGTGAAATCGACAATCCATAAGCAAATGGACACACCTGTGTTCCAATAAGACATTATTACATATACAAGTATGCAAGGAAGTGGGTCAGATTTGTCCTGAGAATCCTGTTTTACCAACTGTTTGTAAGAGTGTCCTTGAAGCTGCCTAAACTCCGCCCAAAGGTGGCTGAAGGTCTATTACACATATTCTCAGGAGGACTTTTTCTGGTAGGCAAACACCCCATCTCAGGGTATCGGGGAATCCTAGCTTCTTTGAAATGCTCCATTAAGTTTTCCTTAGGGATCTCAAGGCTATTTTGCATAGGAGGGGGGAAATACGTGCATGGCATTTATTATGAAGACAACCTGGTCTGAGGATTACAGTATTTCTGTGAGTGGATAGCAGGGCCATGAACTAGCAAGAGAGTCAAGAGGGCAGGGGAAACATCCTGTTTGAAATAGAGTTGTCTGGCCCACATGGTGAGAAACATTCAGACAGCTGGAACCATGGGGTTTGAGCTCTTTGCTTACCATAAAGCTGGTCAGCATGATACAGACACCAAGTCAGCAGGAACGTTTAATTAAAACCGTACCACCTTATACCTTTGGAGTGCTTTGCCATTTGGAAAATGCTCTCACCTACATGATTTCATGGGATCCCTGGGACAATCTCATCTTGTCAGTGAAACTTCCTGAGCTATAACTTAACAGATATTTGGGTTACAAAGGCCAGTGAGACTTGACTTTTCTTTTACGAAGATCTTGGTCTAGTGGGAACGACAGACAGAGAGAGACAAAGGGCACTGGTATGTGTTCACTGAAAGAGCTCTTCATCTGGCAGAGGATGGTGACACAGCCTGGTTCTGGGGTGATGCTAAGGGAAGACAGTGTCACATGGGTTTGGCTAGGGTGTCTTGCTTGAGTTGAGCACAAAAATACGTAAGAAGTCAATCTAAAAATAGGGGTGGGGAGGGAGGTGCGAAGAGAGGGAACATATGAGGAATTAGTCAATCCAGCTAGGGCTGGGACAGCGGTGGAGAGAAAAGGCGTTACAGACACAGGGAAAGCAAAGTCTTGGAGGTGAGAAACAGCAGGGCCTGTAGCATGTGATAAGGGAGTGATGTGCCACATGTCCTGCTGGGGAAGCCGGAGATTAAATTTGGAGATGGAAGCATAAATAAAGAATGGATGTTTAAGTGACAGGCAGTTCATGGTCTATCCTTGGTTACCATTTGGAAGGGTACAGACTTGAAACGTAAAGTGATGGAGAACACAGAGGCCAGAGTCATAATACAAAGTCCATATTTGAGGAGAGTGAAGGCAAGGAGGCCTGATAGGAGGCTGCTGTGTCATCCACACGAGGGAGGAGGTAGTGGTAGTAGGAAGGAGGAAAGAGAGTGGAGTTCAAGACACACTTAGGAAGCAAAAGTTTCAGAACTTGAAAATCCCCTCAAGTAGGCAGGGCAAGAATTATCAACTCATTTAATAAATAAGAAATAACAAACCCAGAAATCTTCAGTTATTAATTCACTACTTCAAATATTGATGCCCAGGTTTTACCCCAGTCCTCTATCTTATACTCTCCTTTTTATATTTTTAAGCCAATATTTCCAGAGTGTCTCCATGAGTTGGATCTCAAGAAAGCCTGTCACATCCATGTTGTTCCTTTCTTACACCCCATGCAAAGAAGTGTTTTTCCTTGGACTCTTCCTAGCAAAGCAACTGAGGTTCAGAGACATATGCACCACGTAAGAGGCCTAAGGACCCAGAGATAATAACAGCAAAGGCTAGATTCCACTATGTCACACTGCCCCTCCCAAAGAGAATGCCACTGAGATGCCCATTCTTCAGAACTGCATGTCCCTGCTGTGACAGCCACTAGTCACATTCAGTTTAAATTACCTAAAATAAGTAAGATTTTAAAATGCAGTTCCCCAATCAATCGAGCAGCATTTGCAGTGTTCTACAGCCATGCATGGGTTGCGGCTACCACAGAGCATGGCACAGAGAGCGACTACTTCATCCCGGCAAAGAACTCTATTAAATAGTGGGGCTACCTTGGAATAGGAAAACCCAAAGATGCGCTCCTCATTCTAAACTGTTAAAGTGGAAAACTCAAAGCAGACTTTTGATATCCCAAACCCAGAGATGAGGGGGATCAGGTGATATTTGATCTTCTTTCTCTTCATCCCTCAGTAGCAGAAACCCAGCTGTGGATATAAGAGCTCCACCTTAAAACTGGGGAAGTCAAGAATAATAAACAAGCATTTAGACAAAGATGTACTGGGTTTTTCTTGTGAAGGACTGGCTTCTTGGTGCCATGTTAATTAATGTAGTTTAATGGACACTGGAGATTAACCAAAGAGGACTGATAAAGGTCTACCTCACAGACAATACGGGGGATTAAAGCTTAGTCTAAACATCCACATACTCTGATTTCTTTATATGCCTGTGGTCTACAGACATAAAATAAAACAAAGTTGGCCAAACTAACATTATTTGGGATAATATCACAACAAACTTTGGCTAACCAAAGTAGGCAGTCCTGAAAAATTAGAGATCCAATTTCCGGGGACCAAGAATAAAAGCAGCTTGTGATTTTGAAAGAAAGACTTGGCCAACAGGATTTAGAAAGCAGGATATCAGTGCTAAGTGAGATAAGGTATCACAAATAATTAAGGTATTAAGCAGATAGTGGCAGCTTTTCTTTGAACTGTGAGACTACTTTCGAAGTGTCCTTGAGAGAGAATAAAACAGTTTGAGTGCCTTCACATTTCTTCAGTGACTGGATCATAATTCCAAATTCCAGAAAGATGTCAAATATGCTGCTCTAATTATGCTTTCCAAACAGCAATTTGAATTATGTTAGCTTAGCGGTACATTATGAGAGGCTTATCTTTTTTCAAGAAAAATACATTAAATAAAAGGAGAAAATATCTCTTAACTGTCCTCCACTTCCAAGGACACATTTCCCTGAAAATTAAAAAAAAATCTTTCTGCTGTTTTCTTTCCTCTCCATCTCCCCCTCCCTCAATGCATTCCTCTCACATGCAACACATATAAAAATTTGATGCAGATCACACTTGCCGTGGTAAGACAGAGCATCGCCTAAAATAAAATGGAGTCTTCATTGTCCTTGACAAAGACCGCGAGTAACGAAAGTCACCTGTTTTGTACCAAAGTGCTGAATTCAAAAATACCTGCCACCCCTTGAGAAGTCATTCTGAGTCGTTCTGTTACATGTTAGAAGGATGATTCGTTTTCGGAATATTACAGTGTCTAAACTGTGACCAAAGTGAACGGCATACAGCTAAGGGCTCCAAAACCTTCTGTATGCTTATAGCCCTAAGGCTGATTGGGAGCCTGTTTTATGCCTGCAGGCTGCTTTCTACAATTCTGGTTCTTGAGACCAATCAGCCTTCAAGGTAAGACTGCGTCCTGACTCCACACCTGGGTTTCCCAGTGCATGGTAACATCAACAACTTCTGTACAATCTGAGGACACAAGGTGAGTATCTGCAGCCTCAGGAGTGTCTGAAACGTTGTAGGGGCTGGAGCAAACCCATGCATACATCTTTACACAGTTGCCTTGCTAACATCTGAAACCCAGCAAATCCTAACATGAACACTATCTTCTGCCCCCAAATAGTCTTCTTTCCCTAGTTATCCCTTATCCTCCTTAGCAACAGGGGCTTCCTCCGACAGTGCCCGGGCCCCTGCCCGCCATTCCCACCTGCTCCTGTTCCTTCTATAGCATTAGGGGAGGCCCCCTCGAAGCTACAGAGTATCTGACTGGGTGTCTCCTCCTGCAGACTCGGGCATCACCCCTCAGCTACCCCTCCTCCAGCAGATCCAACGGCTTCTCTCTCCCTCCTGAGCATCTCTCACTTCTTTAGGATTATCTGCACCTGTATCCTCAGGGTCCTATGTTCTAGAACACTGGTCTACGTACACCAAGCCCACTAACTCACTGGTTCAAACCTTGGCTTCTTCTGTTTCCTATGTCTGCTAGAAACGTCTTTTCTTTTCAAAATCCAATTCTTCCTTCAAAGCGTTAGAACAAAGAGGTTAAGCCAATGGGCAGCTGTTTGTTTGACTAAGGCAGACAGACCCGGGTGCAAATTCCAGATCAACTACTTACTAGTAGTAATATTTGTACGTGTATGCGTGCGTACTTGTGTGTGTGTGTGTGTGCCAGGGATGGGACAGCGGAGACAGGGAGACAGACACAGACAGAAACAGAGCTAGAAACAGACAGGCACAAAGAGTGACAGAGACAGAGAGCTGTCTCTCCTCTATTATATTGGGTTACCAATAGTATCTCCCTTCTTGTGAACTGCTGAGAATTAAATGACTTGATTCATGTAAAAAGCACTTAGCCCAGTTGCTAGCACACCATAAGCAATCAAGAATGATTAGCTCTTACTATTGATCACATCTAGCCTAGTCACCCTCTACGCTGATGCCCTCTTTCATGCTCAGGTCAAGGGTTATAAACCACTTACTGCAATTACTCTCTCTTTTAGTTATGGATTAATTATGTCTCAGCCTCTCAGCAGGTTGTAAGCTACTAAAGAGGAAAATACAATTTTTTTTTTTTACATCCTCTAGATCAGTGCTCTCCAAGTGTGGTCTGTCCGCAAACTGCTTGCTACTGAGGTCCATGGTAAGGTGGCTTCAAAACTCGAGTCACCTTCTATAAGCTTTCATAGCAATGTGCCACACTTTAATTCCATTTTACAAAAGTTTTGGTTTGCAATGGATCAAATTATTTTTAAAACACAGACCGTTACTACAGATTTTGAGTTGCACTGTCCCAGACCACATAGCCCAGAAACAGACCTACAGTAGATGCGTGCTAAGTATTTATTAGGTTCTGAATGAAGAAAAAACATTCAGAATAGTCTTTTGCTTGGAATCCCTGCTCCTGTCAAGTGAGCAGCATAGATGGATATCCAATGAATCGGGCTTCTGAACTCAAATTCAAAACTTGACAAGACTTAAGTGTAGATTAATTTATTGAGTCTTGAATTTCAGAAATTCCTTTTAAAAATTAATTTAAAAATATCTTCTACCATGTGTAAGGCACACAACCACCCTACTGCCTGGAGAATGGAAGAGAAATGGTGAACTCTGGCTTTAATTTTTGTCACATCAAACGTACTAGCCGAAGGGCCATCTGTGATGGTGACAGGTGAGAGTCCTTCCACGAGGGAAGGTGGGACACGAAGTCACAGAAGAAAGGAGATTGTGTCTGGTCTTATTTGCAGCCACTCTGCTGTTTGCCCTTCAGTTTCTGGATTTTTCTGGAGACATCTTTAACCCTTTCCCCTCCTCCAACTTGGACTCAAATCACTCAAGCCTGGAGCCTATGTGGATATGAGGAATGGATCTAGGGAGATGTTATATCAACATATGACACGAATGGACACTGAGAAAGTTGTTAAAGAATGTTAATTGACCAATTTGGAGGGAAAAAAAAACCTCTCAGTATCAGCTATCTAAGTCTTGGCTTCAGATACCAAAAACCTTTTACTTCTCTGAAAGAAAGAGCTAATTGAAAAATTTTATTTTTAACAGAGGAGAGTAGAGGTTTTTGACAGAATTCATTTCCTACATTAGGCAGTCACCCCATGGACCATGCTAGGCAGAGTGGCCATAGTCAAAGCTTGTCTTGCTGTTGTTTTTCCTACGGAAACTTCCTATGAGGGATGTTCAAATATTTTCAACTATTTCCTTTACCTATGGTTAGTACAGAATAAAGCTAGGAAAAATGGGAGAAAAAAGTGTAAACCAGAGCATACTCACACTAGTCCAAAGAAATTTGCTCTATTGCCACATATTCCCATGAGACCTGCCTTGATTCTGGGATTGAACACCTATTAGGTACCAGGGACTATAATCAGCATTAGTGATCTAATGATAAATGAAGTATATTTATTGTCCTCAAAAAGTCTAGACTGAAGTGGGAAAAGCAGAGCAAAATCAACTGACACTACTATTTAGAAAAAAAAAAGACAGTGATGTAAGACAGAATTATAAAAAAAGACTCATCTGGTAATGACTCCTAATTGTACTTTGATATCACTGCCTCTTCCTTTACTAACAGAATTCCCATGTTTTAGCTACAGACACAGCTACCCAGCTAAACATTACATTTTCCAGCTTCCCCTATGATAGACTGTGGCCATATGTAAAAATTACACCCAAAGGAATATGAAGAGAAGTGATGATTGCTACTCTGGGAAGGAATCCATGTGTGCCCTTCTTGCCTGGACCTCTTGCCTCCTTCCTCCTGACTAAGCACAAGAATGGCCCACACATGAAGACGCTTGCTGACTACAACAGAGTCATCCCAACAGACCCGACTCATTCATCTCTATCCAGTGACATAAGTAAAATAAAGATTACCTTGTTAGTTAAGCTATCTCATTCTGGGGTCTCTTTGTTACAGCAGCTTAGCATATACTATAACTAATATAATATAGTTGGGGCAGTTTACCAGGTTCTGGGTATGTTTAGTGTAATGGAGAAGCAGAAGCTTGTGGTGAAAGAGGAGACTTGAGTATGAGATAGGAGCTGTGCCATACTGGATCCTGAAGCAAGGTAAGAAATTTGGACTGCATCTTAAGATCAACGTGTAACATGATTATGTACGTTCTTTAGAAAGAACTCATCAGTTGTGTTGTGTAATAGGGAGGGAGATCACTATCAAAATAAGTGAGAACCAAAGATGATTGATACTTAGAATTTTTGAAAAGTAATGGGAAAAAACTGGTAGATTCAGAGTGAGTATGTAAAATACTGATTGCTAGCATTTTTTTTATTCAACACATTTTTATCAAATTAATCTTCTGTGCTAAGCATTGTATTTAATGTCAGAAGTATAATTGGGATTAAGAATAGATACGGTCCCCGACAGCAAAAGGCTATGCCAAGAGCAGTTCTGTCCCATGCACTACCCATCTGATCCTCCCCACAACCAGATTGTGGTGCTTGTTTTCATCACACATCTACAGATTAGGAGGACAAGGCTCAGAGGATTTTTAAGTACCTTGAGCCAAATCTGGCTTCTTTGCTGCTAAAGCCGACACTTTCACAACTAAATCATGCAACTCCCCGAGGGATACCATCAGACAAAGTAGGAAATAGATAATTCCTATTTTCAAACAGCAAATGCTGGAGCCATCCAGAGGAATAAGTTACGCAAAAGGAAAAGAATGAGGTAAAGTAAATCATCCATTACTATCAACAAAATTACTTTACGAGTCCCATTTTACCTGTTGCCAACACACAAACTCTAAGAATTTAACTATGGATTTTTTTTAATCTACAAAATAATAAGCACCATATAAAGAAAAAAATAATTCATTTTTTGAAATGGTAAGGGAAAATAATTATGAATCACTCCAGCTTAGCAAATCACTTCCATTTTGTAATTAGTGGCATAATTATACATTGTAGCTTGACAGACTCACTACCACATGCCAGGGAGCAAAACTCTCATAAATGCCTCTTTAGTCTTTGTATGTCAATTTCCAGGAAGATGCGACGTCCACTCAGGTAAAATATTTTCTTAAAGTATGATGGTCTTGCACTCAAAGAGCATCTCTTACGCTGCTCTATTTTCTGCAAGTAGACATTATTTCCTGGATTCTCTCAGGCCTTTTTAGGTTTCTTATTCTATTTATTGTTTATTTCTGTTTTGTTCATTTGTTTGTTTGTTTTAAGATTGATGCTATTTTCCCACTAAGAGTCAGGTTTAAGGAGTATTTAAGGGAAAGAGAAGAATGTAGAATGTGAAGCTCTGAAGGAATGTTTGGATCAGCTGTCCACAGGACCCCTTCCCAATGGTTGACAGAATGATCACCAGGGAATTTTACTATTCAGACTCTTTTCACAATTTTTTTTCAAGTGTATCACTTTTTCTGTTTTTCCTCTTTCTTAGAACAATCATTCCATTCTGCACTGTTAAAATATACTTGAGTTTTCATGAGAAGATACTGGAAGTTTGGTTTTTTTTAAACTTTGACTCAGATATAATTATTATTCAGGGCTATCCCCCAATCCCACCCCTATTCTCCTTGTAGTAATTCAATTTGGTCTAAAGAAAACACAAGAGGGAAAGTCTGAGTAAGGATAAATAATAGTCATATTTTACTAAAACCTAAAAACATTGTTCTAGTATTTTTGTCAGGAATTCCCAATATATTTTAGTAATGGAGATGGAATATAAAGTAAGTTGATTCTTGTTGCATTTAGGTTTTAGACCAATACCACTCTTACAAATGAAAACATCCCCCCCCCAAAGAGCCCAGGAATATACCAAAATCAATTTTCAAGATAAACTATAGATAACAAATATCATTGGATATATAGCAAAGAAGTTGCACAAGGTGAAAAAAATTAAAAAATCAGAGTGCAGTGAAGGAGAAAAAGAGCAATACATTATATTCCTGAACTTCCTTCAACAAAACTTTATGATTCTTATCTAGAAAGCCTATGCAGAAAAATGTCAACACTCCTGGAGTAAGAATAGTCATCTGATATAAAAATGGATCGACCAACCCCAGGAAACCTTAAGCAGCACACTTGTGGAGATGATCTGTAAGCCACTTTGAATGTAACTTTATTATATTCCGACCAGAATCCATAGGGAGATTCATAGTAAGAGTAAGAAAACATACTTCCAAAATACTTTTTAAATTAATTAAAATAATTCATTAAATCATATGACTTATCTGACCAGTTCATATTAAAAATATGTTTTGATTAAATAGAAATCTAAATTTCCCATGGCTTTTGCCAATATATTGCTTTTAGAAAAGAAGACTTAAATGGTAAGAGAGTCCTATGAGGCTATGTATTATACAGAATTTCTAGTTAATGTGATTTAGAACCCATGCAGCTCTCTCTCACATAGCTTTCTCAATCTTCTCTTCCTTTTCATACAGTGAGTAATTATGTTGTGAATGGCATATCTGAGGTACTACAAGAATCTTCAACACTAGAAAAAGATTCAGGGTTATTAAATGGTATACATTTATAGAAAAATAAGGAGAGCGTTTTTCCAATCACGGTTAACATAAAAATGATTAAGAAAATACAATTTCCCCAATTCATTACTTAAATCTTACCTAATTAAGAATATTCTTTACTCAAAAATTGCAAAGTCATTGAAAAGAACTATACTTATATTTCCAGCAACATGGTTGACTGAGGAAATACTAACTTTCCAACTGTTGCCAAAAAAAAAAAACACTTAGAAAATATGGATGACATAAAACTTAACACTTTTTAGTTACACTGCTGAATTTGAGAGTGTAAAGAGAAAGTTTCCAGATGCCAAAAAGATAGAGGAAAATTATGACAGACCTATAATGCTACAGAGGCCAGAGGGAAGAGGCAAAGAAGGTAACAGTATCCAGACCTAGACCATAAAGAGTCTGGGTTGGCTGTTAAAGTCCTCTAGTGGGTGGAAGGCATGACTTCAGGCCCACTGGAGACAGCAGGGCCTCTGAATGAAGGCAGAACTCAGGAAAGGTAGTTCTCTCCTTTATAGTAAAACAAAACAATTTGGCCTCTCCATTCCAGAAAAGTAACAAAAGAAAAAGTTCTCAAGCTTTTCCCACACACCATTTTGCAGTCTAAATTCACTTTACTAGTATCTTGTGAGATTCTCACACTGAATATTTAACATAAAACCTAGTCCTAGACTGCTAATATTCTGTCTCCTGGCAAATTGCGTATTAATCTGCTCTGTAGCCACAGTTTCACAGAGCAAGGTATCCAGATTCTATGCACGAAGAGCAGCCCCTACCAAAGATAAGTTTATAAACAAAAATTATAAGCCCCATAAATGAGGACGAGACTCAATGGAGAGGGCAGTTAAAATAGCCCTGCCTGAATGAAGTACTACAGCCGTGCAAAACAGCCAGGACACACTGAGCTCAAACCATTAAGGAAACGGAGTATGGATACAGTAATGACAATCAAAACACTATGGGGACCAAGAAAGAATGACAGATTAAAGGGAGAAAACCAGATTATCTGAAATGACAAATACAGAAAATAACAGCTCTTTGAAAAAACATCCCATAATATTGGGTTAAATATCAGGTCAGATACAGAAAGAGAGATAATAAGTGACCTAGAAGACAGTCCGAGAAAATTTCATGGAATTTAGTACAAAGAGATGAACAGACGGGAAAATGAGAATGATGTTACCCGGCATGGAGATGGAGAACCATTGAAAGACTTCCAGAAGAAGAAATTAGAGAAGAGCACAGAGGCAACATTCAAAGAGGAAGTGATTGAGGTTTTTCTTAGCTTTAGGTAATATAGCAATTTCAATTTAAAAGAGCACATTAGTTTATGCATACAAACTATATATGCCTTCACACTTGAGAAATAACTCCAGGAAAATGGGGTTGTGGGTAGGGTATGTCTTAAAACAAATCAGAAAGAAAAGCAGTTAACTTTAAAATGAAAAGAAATTTGACTGACAGCAAATGAATCACCAGTAAGAGAAGAGTCAAAGAACTATGGAAAAATAGCTTCAGTGGTACAGAGAGGGAAAATTACCAACTGTTAACTTATCTCTACATCTAACTAAACTGTCCATCAAGGTATAGGAAAAACAAGGGCAATTTTAGACACAAATTACTACTTATGTACCTTTATTGAAATCAGTGCTAGAGGCTACATTTCAGAAAAAAGAAGTGAAATAAGTGAGCAAGAAGGGTGCAAAAGAAACAATTAACAAGGACATTTTGCATCATGTGGATTAATCTAAATAAAACCTTGGCTATGACCAATAGTAGTCCTAATAAGGACAAGTATTAAGAGATTTATAAGCACTGGAATTTAATAAAAGTTGACATCACTGTGGAATGTGGGACTAGGTAAGCAGGTTATAGCCTTCAAAAAATCTAGTATTATTTGAGAGGAGGAAGAGACACACCAAATGATTTAAAATTTTGAAATCAAACATGAATGTTATAATTTCAGAATAATTGGTTAAAAAAAAAGAGAAATAAAATGTGTAACTTCCTAATAGAGGGAAGAAAAAGGAATGAAAAAAAAGTTCATTCTGGTAGGAGGAGAAAGACATAAAAAGGCAAATGAAAACAGCTGATTACAGAAAATACAAACAAAACAGTAGTAATAAATCCAAATAATCCCAATAGAGTGAGCAAATTAAATTTGCTACTAGAAGGACAGAGATTCTCAAATTACTTTTTAGACATCTAGATAGCTGCTGCTTACAGGAGATCTACATTAAATGCAATAATGAACACAGATACTGAGAGATGTATTTACAAAAATGAGAGAAACTACATATGAGACGAAACGGAATTTAAGGCAAAAGTCCTTAACAAAAGTAGAGTCGTTAAAATAATGTAAAAAGAAAGTCCACTAGGAATAAAGACGAAATCTCTCTCACTGGCAATGCTGATATGATTACACAGAGAAATTAAAGAAAACACACACACACACACCTGTGGGGACATTTTAACACATCTTTCTTAGAAACACAGATTCAAAAAAATGTGTATATATATATGTGTGTGTGTGTGTGTGTGTGTGTATATATATATATATATATATATACACATATATATACACACATATATATATATATATATATATGTATATATATATACCCACACATATATTAAGGGGAAAGAAGGTCTAAGTGACAGAATTAGTAAGCTTTATTTGTAGTATATGTTGAATCCAACTTTTTTTTAATTGAATTACAGTCAGTTACAATCTGTCAATTTCTGGTGTACAGCACAATGTTCCATTCATGCATATACATACATACATTCATTTTCATATTCTTTTCCATTAAAGTTTATTACAAGATATTGAAAATAGTTCTCTGTGCTGTACAGAAGAAACTAAAAAATCTATTTTCGTATATAGTGGCTAACATTTGTAAATCTCATACTTCCAAATTTATCCCTTCCCACCCCCTTCTTCTGGTAACCATAAGATTGTTTAGTATGTCTATGAGTCTGTTTCTGTTTTGCAGATGAGTTCTTCATGTTCTTTTTTTTCAAACCCAACTTCTAACAGCTGGAGAATACCTTTCTTTTCAGTCATGAGTGGGAAATACATCAACAGAATAATTGACAAAGAATATAAACAGTAAGTTTGCAGAAGAGAAAATCAGAATGACAAATAAACATATGAAAAGTTTACTAATAATCAGAACAATGCAAGATAAAGTGGTAATAATTTTGTCTATCAGATTGGTAAAAATGTAAAAAATCTTATATCAAGTGTTGGAGAGAGAACACGAGGAACTTTCACTGACTGCTGGGACAAATCATTTGACAGCTTATTTACAGCTTCAATCATTTACATTGAAGGTGCCCATACTGGGTGATGCCTAGTAATTCTCCTATGTGAATTACTCTAGAGAAGCTCTCCCACTTGCACACAAAGATGTTCATCACCTTTAGAAATGGTAAAAGAATAAACTTGGGAATATACTAAATGCCCTTCCAATAAGAAAATGGATAAATAAACTATTGGTATAATCATAGGCAATAATTAAAATAAGTAAACTTGAATTAAATGAATTAAGATAAATTAAATCTCTGAAACAAGATGTATCCCTGACTAATAATGATGGATAAGAAAAAATATATTCAAGAATGTTTCTCCAAAGTAAAATAGAGGTCCTGTTACTAAGGAAGAGGGGGTGGGTGTAGAGAAGGAAAGGAGAGGTCCTTTATACACACTCTGTTAATTTTATGCAGAGAAAAATACGCTTTGTAAGTTACTATCATGAGATGCAGTTGGTACTCAGGTTTGAGGGGATTATGAGGAAAGCTTATCGTGTGAGCAAGGAGGAAGTCTGGAGGGTGGTCAGGTTTCCTAGGGTCGCCCACGACTTTGGCTATTAAATAGTGTTCATTATACCTCCCTTCTTTGGTCATGCTGGTCAAAGTGGCAAAAAAAAAAAGTAGATTTTCTCTACCTTCCTGTGTGTTGATGTCTGTCTTCTCTGGTCACCTCTTGGGATATAACCACCTCAGGGGTTAGTGCAGCACAAATCATGAAATTGTGGAGACAGAGCAGGCATGGCTTTTTTGACTTTGCATATATTGTTATCTTTCACAATGACTCTGCAAGATATTTTGTATCACTGCCCTTATTTTCAAATATAGGAAACTGAAGTTTGGAAAGCAGTGACCTGACTAATACTACATAATTAGCAAGCAATACACTTAATATCTAAACTAATACATCCTTCTGTTACATCACACGTGAACTTGGGAGGATAGCTTGAGGGCTATTATGCATATTACCCATAAAAATTTTTTCTAAAGAAATTTTCATTAATTATTTTTTAATGAGTCTGACAACTAAATAGCAGTTGTGACAGATCAACAGTTGTGGATAATACCAATGCCTATTAATTAGGCCAAATGCGTAAGTTAGCATGTAAAAGGCAGTCCCTTTAAAATAACTAGTTGTGAAAAAAAGAGAAATATTTCCCATTTTTTTCTTAAAAATTTCACATCTCACACCAATATTACTCTCAAATTCTGCTAGGATAATTACCAAAGGACAATTACTTTCAAGTATGGTCACTGTACCCCATTTTGTTTTTTTGACAAAAGTTACATGTGTAAATACATACATATTTAAACTCCTAATATCTGGCAATAAACTTTTAAAAACTAAAATACATCTTTAATGATGGGAATCTGTTATGTTGTGTTTATTAAGTGCCCAGAATAATTTCATTAGTTTGTTTTTCACCTCCTGCTAGGCTACTGATAATATAGTTTCAAGTTTCACTCATTCCATGTCCCCATGCACATTAACCATGCTTTTCCAAATAACTCCAAACATTACTGTTTTAAAAAGGTATTTCAAATACAATGATGTGATGTAACTCTCCATTTCTAGTTTATCCCTATCATTTCCCACATCAGAATGAAGTATGGAAGTCTTGCAATACGATGCTAACATCAAAGCTGAGACTTAAGACTTAGATAACCTAGTTGTCAAACATCGGTCTGATATGTGCCCTATGCGTGAACATTGACCAGAACTTCAACCCTTAGTATCAGCAGAAATCTTCCCTAGAGATCCTCTAATTCTATGGTTCCCAATCTTGAATTAATTCTGGACCTCTAGGGCTCTGTGCAAGTAATATTTATCCAAATAATTTCTCTTTCCCTGAAAATAAGTTTTTGAGAATCCACTTTAGGCCAGGTGTGTGTCTGCAGCCAGAATAAAATACCCATCAGCTCCGAGATCTCATGAGCTGCCCCAGTTTATGTTCTTAGGGAGATTTTCTCCCCAGTTCTATGAGCAATATGCTTTCAACACACATTTTTCTTAAATTAGTATACATTGGTCTCTGTTTGTTTGCAACCAAAGAGCTCTGAACAATATAGCAGTGCCTGAGAAGTTTTCAAACTTCTAGAAACAGGACTACAGGACAAAGTTGCCTACAGGAGTGATTTGAAACAACAATGTGTGCACCCCCTCCCCCCAAAGAAACAAACAATCAAAATCAGAGATGTGACACTTAGCCAGAATGATTTAGAAAACTGGAAAACCAAATAGTGATGCCAAGCACAAAAAACAGAAATGAAACCATGCACAGGAAACAGCCAGACAAGAAGGGTCACGAAGAAAGTACCCTGCAACAGAACATGGTTAGGAAATAAAGCAGGGATGCTCCTGAGTGACGCCGGATCCAGACTTGGGGTTGTTAGTTGGCTGGTGTTGAGAATTCAGAATAACATAAACGCACAGGGTAGAGGTGGCTACTGATGAAATTCTGAAAGCTCTTTTTGAAATTAAAAACAAATTCTAATAAAGAAGACACACTTATTATTTATAGGTCTGAGCTGGCTATTTAGAATCCCACATCTCTGCTTGTATCAAAGTATAGATAATAAATCAAATAAAATAAGTAAACAAGCAAACAAATGCATAAATAAATAACCAGGAACACTGGTGATATCACGGCACCTGGGAGTTCAAATTGATCACTGAAATCATTCAACTGGAGTTTTTTAGAATAGGATTTGAGGTTAGGCATCATGACAAGAACCACAGTTTAGACAAGAGTTTCCGAATGTCTCAAAAAGCATGTCCAGGATGGGACTGTCTTTAAAGATGAATGCAGGTAATGTCTGATCTTTCAAAATACAAGATCTTATGGGAAAGCAAAATTGAAAAAAGAAAAGGAAATTGTTGGGAACTGGTGACTTAAATCAACCTAGTACACTATGCATGAAATTTGTTTAT